AGCAATGCTGCTGAGACCCAAAGCTGCTGAGCCAAAGAGGAAAACACAAAGCTTTGCAGCATTACCTACAGGAGCAAAGGCTCCTGCAAGGTGGATCTTCAAGAAGACCCCAGAGGTTGCTTAAGACACTGCAGGTAAAATAGAGATGAGGAGTGGGGTACATAGAAAGGAGGAGGATGTACAAATGAATGGCTGAGCTCAGTGCTTTACAAGTTTATTCAGTGGGGCTACACCAAACCAACAAGCCCTGCTCCTGGCAGGGGAAGTTCTCAATTTTGTTTCAGCCACATCTGTACTCGCATCCTGGAAAAACTGAATGGGAAGAAGGTGGCCTCCCAACTGCATCTGAATTGCTGGAGAGGGGATGGTTTTGGAAAGTCTCCATGGTGTCCGGGGAAAGGGCAGCCTGCAAAGGGGCAGGAGGAGGACTCCTCTGAATAAACTGAACTTACACCCAGAGAACAGCTGGTAGTTCTGGCAGTCAGCAAAGCTGAACCAAGACTGGAGAGGTTAACCCACCTTCCCAGCCCCTGTTCATGGGACACGGTGTCTGGGTCTTCTCCAGCACAGCTCTGATGTGTTTATAAATTTGTAAATGGCGAGTGTCAGGAGGAAGGAGCCAGGCTCTGCTCTGGGATGGCCAATGCCAGGACAAGGGGCAATGGTCCCAAGCTGGAGCACAGGAGGTTCAAGCTGAACATGAGGACAAACTTTGTGAGTGTGAGGGTTATGGAGCACGGCCCAGGCTGCCCAGAGAGGTTGTGGAGTCTCCTTGTGTGGAGACACCCAAAGCCCTGGCCGTGTTCCTGTGTGACTGCTCTGGTGATCCTGCTCTGGCAGGGGTTGCACTGGGGGAGCTTTCCAGATCCCTTCCAACTCCTGACATGCTGTGATCCTGTGATTCTGCTGTGCCTTCAACTCAAGCCCAACGAGGGTTTGGACCCCAGCTATGGGTCTGAGCTGAGCAGCACTCCCTCTTGGGTCAGGCTGCATTTCTGGTGTAGGTGTCTGAGCTGTTCAGTATGAATTCTGAACTGCCAAGAAGGATTTTTGGGCTTTTTTTCCAGAGAGTTTAAATCTCTTAAGCAGCTCTGCAAAGATGGTGGAGCTGGGGAGGACTAACAGATGCTGTGCCAGTATTACAACCCATCTGGTATAAATGCCATGGGAGGGCGGTGAATAAAGTGTGACTACGAGAGTATTGGGGGTGCCTCTCCACGCTAAAGATATTCTGATGGTTGCAGATTCAGAGCATCAACCACATTTCAAGCAAAAATAAAGGAACGGGGAAAGAAGTCTATCTGATGCTTCCTTTCGTATTCATGCAAACACATGCACGAAGGAAACTAAACCAAGACCTACCACACAGAGATGGAGGCTGCATTTCTCAGATACTGTTTGATTTCTTTTGAGGACAGAGCATTATTCAAGTCTGGAACAGGACTTGCTAAAAGTCTTTTCTAATTTCTCACCCTCCAGCTGCACTGACCTGCAGGAGCATTTTGTCCTTCTGGCATGGGGAATAAGAACTCCAGAGCCTGGTCCTCTCCCGGAAGGATGGGTAATTTCAGAGGAGCAATAACGGTGTTTCTTGAGAAATACCTTCAAGCACCTTGCCCTGGATTTCTCTGTGCTTTCCTGGAAGAAGGGGCATGGACTGATTTCTTCAGCCTTTGGCTGACATCTGCAGCAGCAACCACGGGGGTTGCTGGTAACCAGGGCTACCCCACAACCAGCGCTGCAGGGAATCGGGAGCCACCTACGTTACAGGGACTGTCAGAGAGCAGATTTAAGAGAAAATGGAAACCTCCCTTTCAGCGTCAGAAATAACAGCTCAACGTAAGCACTACTGCTCGCCAGCTCTGATGCAGGAGAGGGATGAGGGCGTGCGTGAGGAGGGCAGGAGTGCCACCGCACAGCCACGGGTAGCAAAAAGGAGGATCTCTTCCAGTGCTTCCTGATTTTAAGCTTTTCTAGAGATACAAAGGCCAGTGCCCACCCCAGCCCCTCAGGTGGGACCACCTCTGGGCATCCTCCCAGCAAGGAGCAGCTGTGCCCAAGCATCCAAACACCACCTGTGTTTGTGAGGTGATGAACTGACTCCTGCTGATGGATGTATTTCCAGTTGGAAATCGTTGCTACCCAGCCCCCTCCAAAACCACTCCAAATACTGAGAAAAGATGGATGTTTGCAGTCTGGATGCTCTGAAATAATGCTTTAAGAAAACATTTGTTCAAGGTTTAATGTGTCTTTGCTCAGCTTCTGTTACTTTATAAGTTGCCCTTTACACTTATGCAGCTTCAATTTCAGTCTGTCCAGCGACTCGAGTGGTTGACCTGCGCTGGTAACACAGGCTGCAGTGAAGGAGTAACTGCCTCTTGCCTTGCAGGGCCACACAACATTTCTCCTTGTTTATCTGATGGAAACACAACATTTCTCCCTGTTTATCTGATGGAAACCCTCCAGCGTGAGGGAATGCTCAGGCACAGACTGAAGGGCTCAGCACAGGCACAAAGATGATGTTGTTGTGTGCCTCAGAACGGGATTTCTCTTGGACAAAACCTTCCAGTGACTGCAAGGTTAGAGCAGATCACACAGTTACAGCTGTTAAAAATCACGAGGAAAGAATCCACTGCATCTTAAGGGAAAGTACCATAAGTTGACTGCTGAAATCAAAAGCAATGATAGATCACATAGAAATATAGAATCATTTTGTTGGAAAAGACTTTAAAGACCATTGAGTCCAACCATAACCTGTCCACCATTAAACCATGTGTCCAAGCACCTCATTTCCCTATCTTTTAAATACGGGAGGTACAGGGCCATTTGGGCTGTTAAGCCCCCCGGGGATGTTGCCTCCACCCCTGCCCTGGACAGCCCCTGCCAGTGCCTGAGAACCCTTTCAGTGAAGAGATTTTTCCTCATATCCAATCTAACCCTCCCTGGGTGCAACTTGAGGCCGTTTCCTCTTGTCCCATCACTTGTGAAATGGAAGAAGAGACTGACCCCTCCCCTCTATCCCCTCCTTTTAGAAGCTGTAGAGGGGATTTCCTCATATCCAATCTAACCCTCCCTGGGTGCAACTTGAGGCCGTTTCCTCTCATCCCATTGCTTGTTAATTGGGAGAAGAGACTGACCCTCCCCTTGCTACCCCCTCCTTTCAGGAGCTGTAGAGGGGATAAGGTCTCCCCTCACCTCCTCTTCTCCAGTTGAACCCCCAGCTCCCTCAGCTGCTCCCCATAACTCTTGTGCTCCAGCCCCCTCCCCAGATGGTCCAGGGGAAGCTGGGGCCACCGAAGCTCAGAGGAGATTTTTCACCCACTCCTCAAAGCTCAGCTCAGCGTTACCCTCCAGCCTCACACCTCAATGCACCACCCACGAGTCACGGCAGATTAACCGAGAGAAGACTCCGCTTTGCACCACCAAGAAGGTCTCGGTGCTTTGCAGAGGGCAGCTCCTCAGCTGCATCAAAGCAAGCAGAGAGGAGGTGGTTCGGGCCATGGACAACCACACGTCTTCCTGCAGGAGCTGCTGGCACCACCGATAGGAGCTGGGGTGCTCCAGGAGGGATATGCACGATGAAAGAACAGAGCACGGCTGGTGCTGCCCGAATAACAAAACAAAAATAATTCCAGTCTCAGAGGGACTTATCGCTCTAAACCTGTCTGTTCCCACTCTGCACAGCAAAATGCTATTTTAAGCTGCGTGATGATTAATCCCTTACTTTCATACTTGCATTTAAGTAGGGAATGTTGTAGGTTATTTTTAATAAATACATGGCAGTTAAAGCATATATATAGTGTTAATTTGCTACATAATCTTTCATCACAGAGATTCCAAACACAGCAATCATTTGGATGACTGCAAACGAGGTAAGATTGCAGGGCTAGCCCAAACAGTCTCCAAGCTCGGTGATCTAGGAAGACAACCATTGAAAACGTGCTCTATAAATCGCTGTTGCTGAGGGACAGGGGGATTCTGGATGTGGCTGGCAGCTCAGGCAGACCCTGCAGCACCCAGCAATCATGGATGGTCACCGTATGCAAACCAGGAGACGCCACACTTGTGTTATCCCAGCTTTCAGTAAATAGACTGCTCATAACAACTCACTCTAGCTTCAAAAATAAAACTTTAAAGAGCCAAACTCATTGCTCCCCTGTCCAAGACCTCCTCCTGGTGTGCCCTAAGGATCTTAGACCTGATGCTGAAAAATGATGAGAAACAACCTCAGCGATTTGACTTCAGGGGCACAACTTTAACTTCTGCTCTCAGATGATGGATCCCTTTGTCAAACAGGAGCAGCTACAAATCATCAAGCCCTTGTGTTCTCTAAATCCGTCAAAATGCAAGAACAGGCTCCTTCCTCTATTCACATAACATCACATTCACATTTCTAGCATGGTTCCAGTCATCTTGCAGCCCCGCATCTCATATTAGCATGGAAAAAAGCTATTGCTGCAGCAACAGAACACAGAACACATTTACTACCCATAAAGCAAAGAAGGAGCCTACCTCTATCTGCTTATCTTTGAAGATGTTGTTGATGGTGTTGTTAAAAGCCGCTCCAGAAAACATAGAGGTTATTGGATACGTCAAGTCTAGAATAGTCTTGAACACCGAGTTCATAACCTAAAAAGAAGAACAAAAAAAGGCATTTCAAAGGTGAATATACGCAAGAATCCATATGAGTGTGTGCATTAGTGTACGCAATGCGAGAAACACCAGATTCCAGATTCTACAGCCAACATATCGGAAGCATTTAAGTACAAAAGTTGTCAAGGGGATGGAAATAAGACTGCAAAACCTACAACCAGTAACTCCTTGTACGGTGTCATAAATTCAAAACAAAAAGCAATGAGGCTATGGAAGAATTTATATATGCACTGCTTCTACCCATAAATCAAAACGTCCCTCTAGAGCAGTCTGCGCGGCACAGGTTCCTGCCTTCACAACTGTACGTGAATCGTACAGTTTAATTCTTGATTATTATTTTTTTAATAACAAAAAACCATTATTAGTCGTCTCCCTCTTCATCATCCTCTCCATGTGCAGTTCACCGGTGTGGAAAGGAAATGATAAATCTGTAACACAGGAACCTATATCCTTACACACCTCATTTGTGGAGCACGCCTGATTTTTCTTCCAGCCTTAAATCTCCTCTCTGCCTCAGCGGAGGCCCTTACAGAAACGCGTGTGTGATTCAAGGTTAAGTCAGTCGCACGTTAATGAGCTTTAAACACACTTTTTAGACATCGGTGTCCATCATTTTTCATTCCCAAAGAGAGTTATTGCGCTCTCCTGCTGCGTGGGAGCCGGCATCCGGACACCACCATGGGCACTCCTCAGAGCCACATAAACCCAATCACACCCTGCTTCCTATCGATACCCATTACTTCACATAACGGTGGCAGGCACTGTCAAACACGTCCCTTCCAAACACACATATACTCTAATTAAGCTTTTCTTAATTCTTCCCTCCCACTCCATCTTAAGAGCATCTGTGCACTAATCTATAAGGTAAAATTATTAAAATTGCTAAACTATAGGGCATTATGGCCACTGTATTGAGCCCATAAGCACGCTGTTGGTCTCAAATCCTCATAAATCCTAACAAAATTCAATGTCTGTTACATTGCACTCAGTTAAAATGCAACAGAAGACCAAAATAACCAATTGACTTGGTTCACAATTAAACAGGATCTTATTAGATAAAGTATGTTAATGTCCACACATTCTCTGTAATTTAACAAACAATTTAAACGCTATGGCATTGCACCCAGGCAGAGACCCACAGCACAGAGCAGCCCCCAACCCCGGTTTATTAAAGGATCTGATCAACATCTGGCCTTTGCTTTATTCCAGCTATGATTTAAAGAAGAGCAGACTTGGCCTAGATTGTCGTGTCCAGCTGCTTTTAAATGTATCTTAGTTATCTGCCCAGAGAATACATGTCTAAGTATTTTTTAAAAAGATCCTTAAAAACCAAGCATATAAACAGGACACTTGGGAGAGTGCAAAAGCTGTAGCACAAAACGAATTACGATCCCGTCGCCTTCATTCACATCCTCATTTTCGGCTCTGAAGGGGGGAGGACAGCCTGCCAACCTAACTATAGACATCCTACCCACAGCTTCGGAGTCAAACTGAATGAGTTCCGTACTTAAAATAGGGATTTGGTCTCTGACATTACTTAGAATGATTAAACCAGGGGAAACAGCATTTACAAAAAGTCCTTTATTTAATACGGAAGAAAAATCTCTCCAACGCAGCACCAAACATCGGGCTGTCCTTGTTGCAAATGATCTTTATAAAGCTGAGCCTCTACATTTTCCCTGCAATTAATGCTCGCAGTGATCTCGTACACAAACAAAATACTCCTAATTAATGACTATTTCTCAGTATTCTCATTTCTCACAACCGGATGATCACACAGAATCACAGAATGGCTCAGCTGGAAAAGCCCTCTGAGCTCATCATGTCCAACCGCTCCTGTCTACCCCCTAAACCATATCCCTAAGTACCTCGTCTACCCGCTCTTTAAACACATCCAGGGATGGTGACTCCACCACCTCCCTGGGCAGCCTGTGCCAGCTTCTGACGACCCTCTCAGGAAAGAACTTCCTCCTTATCTCTGACCTGAACCTCCCTTGGCACAGCTTGGTGCCGTTTCCCCTTGTTCTATCCCCCATCACCTGGGAGAAGAGACCAGCACCCACCTCTCTACAACCTCCCTTGAGGCAGTTGGAGGTGGTGATGAGGTCTCCCCTCAGCCTTCTCTTCTCCAGGCTAAACAACCCCAGTTCCCTCAGCCGCTCCTCATCAGGCTTGTTCTCCAGACCTCTCCAACAGCCTCCCAAGAAATGCTGTTCAGGATAAATGGAGTCAAAGATCGCCCTCTGCAAAGGCAGATGGAGCCTCCTGACTTCTCCTCCACCTCATATTTCTCTCCTAACCAGTAGCACCAGTTCCAGCACCAGTGTCCTGCAGCTTCAGTGCCCTCTGGCACCACGATGGGAGGTCCAGCCTTACAGCGCCAACACCAACGCTCTTAGGACAGAGAAGATTTTGCAATTCCTCACCAGCTTCTCATGAACCTGCATTTCCACAGCTCTGCTGCAAGATGAGCTTTCTTACTAAGAAGACCTTCAATTCTGAAATTATTTGTAAAAGCTGCCCCGTGGTACAAGGCAGCTTCAACAAGGGAGGGACAAGAGCAAACGCATGCGATGATGGCCAAAAAGAAACCTGAACTGGAACCTCCTGCTATGTTGTTCTTTGATGCAGAGTGAGTGTAAACTGGTGGCAAAAGAAAGGATATCCCAGGATTTGATAACATTCCTAGGTATAAAAAAAAACCAGCAAGGGTATGGGAAAACTTGCTACAAGAACCAAAATTTAGAACAGATGAAATATAGGCTGAACTCCTGGAGACAGCATCCAGAATTTCCTTATGTGCCTTTTCAGTGTTCACATAGAAAGTCTCCATGAAACAAGGAAAGGAATTCACAAAGAAAAAGATGTGAAAGACAAAATAAAAACATAACTGAGGCCAACACTTTCAGATAAACAGCACTAGAGGGGTATATTTATCCCAAAGACAGGAATTAGAGGTAATGGAAGTTCAGGTTTAAAGGTAAACTATTAAGAAATCTAAGAGTTGAAGAAAATTAATCCAGGAAACCGTCACCACCTCAGAGTCAGCAAAGGATGGAGGTAAGGTAAGGAAATGCCTGTTTCAAATGAGATTCAGATGTCCTGATCCTGCAACACTGATGTGCCATCTGCACCACCATCAGTTGAAGTGGTCTCTATGGGGCAGAAATAGGCTGGGTTGGTGCCTTAACGGGGCCCTTCAAAGCAACAGGCACGTTTGGATTTTGTATCTGAATTTCCCAAATTGCAGTGCTTGATTTAGGGTTGATCTCAACCCCCCAGGTAATCCGATTGAAATGATAAATATGAACCATCAAGGCTTTATCACTGCCTGAAAGTAGAATTGTCCTGTACCTCTTGAAATAAGAGATTTGTAAGACTTAACGAACACACACCTGGTCTTTTTGTCTTCTGTCCTTAATACTCCAGAACTCCACCTGCAAGGCAGCAGACGGAACGCCTCAGCTGGCCTACAAATGTAATCTGCCCTGGTTTCCTTTCTGCAAGCAGAGAAACCCAGTGGCCAACACCTTCCAAAGCAGTTGATAAAGTTTTCAAGACGCAATCAGAAAGCACCAAAGCGCGGCAGAGCGCGCCCTGGCCAGCGACGCTGTCCTCGAGCAGGCTCTGCTGCAGCTCATCAACCCCATTGAAAACACAATATGTGCGTGCTCTGTAACGAACCTCTCATTTATTTAGGATTAAAGCTGCTTTAGTGCTTTATTACCTTTGGCTGCTCCTGAATCAGTGCTAAGTCACAGCAACCATGATTCCCTTCACCTGGGGGACTGGGACCAGTTTATTTTGCTGATCTCTGGTGTCTATCCTGTAATATCCTGCCCGCTCTTCACATCAATCTCGTTTGGCATCGTTTGCCTGCTCAGCTCACATTTTGTGTTTTGTTTGAGCTGCTGCTGTACAGGAAGATCCAGTGCACAAACAAAATGAAACCGTGTGGGATGCAGAGCGATTTGCAAAATGCTGCACCCACCAGTGATGTGCTCCCTCCAACTTCCACCCTGGAAGGACCCTCTGTGGTCCCCATCGTGTGGGCATCCCACCCATCCCCACTGACCCTTCTGCCAAGCCCCAGTTGGTTGCAGGCTGCCACCGTGCTCCGTCCTCCTCCTCCTCCGTGTTCCCAGCATCCATAACCTGTGCCCGGTTCTGCATTGGCCACGGGCATCACCTCTGTACACCAGAAAACAGCTTTTTTTACCTCAAAACAACAGATGTAATGGATCGAGAAGGGTATCAGGATCCAGCCTGACACAGCAGCTTGATCTGGCCCAAACTGGGGCTGAGGATTTTGCCCTGGGCCAGCACAGCTGCCGGCTGCAGAGCAGCTGGGCTGCCCAGAAACACGCACAACATGGAAAAAAAGTGAAGAATTTCTGGCAATATCAGCTCATTAAACCACATCTCCCAACATGCAAATACTCCAGCAGCATCAGGGAGAGGCAGAACCTCACGACTGCAGCCTCAGACCCCCCTGTTTCTTTGAGCTGTCGTGCAATCACGGACAGCAAACGGCTGCAGCATCCTACCCAGCAATTCTTAATTCTCATTATGGGAAGATTTTTAGCTACACCTTCCTAGAACCATAGTCCCTTCAGCAGTAAAATATTCAATTCTTTGTGAAATATTTATACTTTGGCATATTAATTTTTCAATTAAGAAAAAATGAGCCAAGAAAACCCAACATCTCCAAACACAAAAGCTTTTGTTTGTTCGCTTTGCTGGTTAAACAGAGGCACAGAAGACACACAGAAGCAATATATAGCAACTATCCTGGCTGGCAATGCTCATATCCCTCTGTATTTTGACAAAAGTGTCATTTATTTCTTTACTGCTTCATTAGGTCCAGAAAACATCCCATTAAAAATGTCCCTCCTCCCAGCCCCAAGCCTAAAACCAGAGATATGCCAATTTTTTAAAAATACCAAAAAGAGAAATAACTGCAGGACAAAAACCAG